ATCACTTGAACTCATTTGGAAAAATCTAACCAAATGTATACATTCTTGTAATGTTAATGCTAATGCTTGAAATTCTTTTGCATCCCATTCTCTCAAGTTCACATCAAATGAAGGATTTTGTGCTAATCCCCATTTAATAACTTGATCCCATACATCTTCTTCTACCATATCTAAATCATCCCTTTTAATATTGGCATAAGTAAAATTCATCTAATAAAGAAAATCCGGTGATTTAAATAATAATTCTGGATTTGATAATATAGTTGCTAAAATAAATTCTCTCAATTTTTCACATGAATCATGGGCTAAACTTGTTTGATAAATATAAGAACTTATCTAATCATTTTTCGTCTCCACCAAATGATCTTGAATATAATCCAATAAAACCTTTAATAATAATTCATCAGCTGCTACTAATATCTCCAATATCTCTATAATATCTCAATCAAATAATATAATTATTCTACTATATATATAACTAAGAGTGAAAGTAAAAATTAATTATAACATATATATGTTTATTTATTTATTTATTTATTTTTAAAAAATAAATATTTATATTTATATATACTCTATAACTTACTTGAGTATAATTTCAAAGACTTTGAGAGAAATGTATAGTTGCCTGAGAATATTATCATCATCTTCTTTTTTAGCTCATTGTTTAGAAAGAGTTATGTGAAAATTAGAAGATTTTGCACAAAGAATTAAAATATGAAATTTATCAGCATTATATATATTCTAAAGATCATAAATGTTTAAATGATTACCTTAATGCAAAAAATTTTATGATATAAAAATATTATCTAAACAAGTAAATTTTATAGACTATTATATATAGAAAGAAATAATATAGCTAAGTATAATAGAATTTTCTAAATACTTTGAATATTGCATTTATAATAAATATATAACTAGTAAGTTTTATGCATAATACTCATAATGCATATAATACATATATTTAAAATTTTTTATTTTTTAAATATCTAATACTTATTTTATATTTATTATTAGTCGCAAACAATGTGTAAAATTTACATGCATAATGTATACATGTGTACATTAAATTTTTGTGTGCACATGTTATATAGCATAAAATATGCACAAATAATTATTAAAAATAGATAAATTATTTATAAAAATGAAAATACTATATAATACATGCATTAATTTGTCTATTTTTAGTACAATTTATGCATATGACTTTTAGTCTAAATTTTATATACTGATCACAAATAAACAAATAAATAAATCACAAAGTATTATATATAATTATTATATAAATTTACTTAATATAATACTTTAATTGTAAAAACATTAAATATTAAAATTATAAAATTAATTGAAACTGGTTATAAAACTAACTAAGAATAAAAATTCAAGTTCTTAAAAATCAATAAATCATTAGTAGTATTTTACAAATCATTAAGAATAAAATTAGTAATAAATAGACAGATTTTAATTTTAAAATACTTCATTATATTAATAGAATAACAGCTAGAGTTTTATATTTAACTATTACTGATAAAGAAATTCCATAAAACTTTTATTACTTGTATGTCAGATTCAAAAAAGAAGAATTTAGTTTTTTGTTTAGAATCATTACTAGAAAAATATAAGTATCTTTCTTTTCTATTTTTATTTATAATTATTATTTATTTTTATTTAAATAAATTTAATATTTAGGTAATAAAAAAGACAAAAAGAGTGAAGGAAAATAAAATTAAAAATCAATATACATAAATTTTAACTATTTATTAGCCTATATTAATCTAAAATTAATACTAATATAGCATAAGATATCCTTATTTTTTATTACAGTCTTAATTTTATGAGGTATATTTTCAATTAACTTAATAATCTTTTGAGTTTAATTTAGTATTATTCTTCTTTAAAAGTAGCTAAAAATTCTGATTTATTTTTTAGTTTAGGATTACACATCCTGACCTTTCTTTCTAATATATTTTACAAATTCTTAATTGGATTGAGATTAGAACTTTGTGTTGATCAAGAAAGTGATTGATGTAAATTTTCTTCTTTTCAACTCTTTGTGAATCATATTATATGTGCTGAGACATTATTATTTTGAAAAGTATGGCTATTAGATTCAAGTTTATTAAGAAAAGGTAAAAAGATAACATTTAAGTAATTCTACATACTTTTTAACATTTAATATTTCCTTAATTAGTATCAATGATCCTACTTTAAAATTACAAAAATACCTCAAATTATAACTTCTAACTTTTGAACTGTTAGAATTAAACAATCTTTTGTATATTTCTTATAAACTCTATCAAATTTATTGATTAGTATCATTTCTAAATAATTCAAAATGAGATTCATCACTAAAAATTATAAAATTCTATTTATCTTACTAACTTTTTTTAATATAATATTAAAGTAAAATATTATTTTATTTACATTAGAAACTAACAGTTTTTTTCTACTAATATACCTATAATAATCTATAGAATGCAGTATATACTTAACAGTTTTACTACTTAATAAAATATTAAGACCCTGGTTAAATTGTTCAGTAATTTTTTTCACAGCTTATTTATGATTTTGTCAGACTATTCTTTCTAGTTGACTTTTCTTATTTTAATAAAGCTTGAGATCTATCACTCTTAAATGCAATATCAGTGCAAGTTTTTTTATTGTATTTTATAATTACATTATAGACAGTAGATTTCACTAGTCAAAATAGTTCAAATCAGCTAAAAATCAGATAGCTGATTTTAGGCCAATTTTAATCTATTTATAGCTAATTTGCCATATTTTTTGATTAGCACAAATAGGTGTTAATATACGCTGATTGATCCCAATTAGACATAACCATTTAAAACTTAAATTCAACCATAAATCAGCCTAAAATTAGCCACAATTCAGCAACAATTCAGACGCTAATAGATACCAATCGACTCCAATCAGACATAGCCATTCAGCATCAATTCAGAACTTGAATAACCATAAATCAACCTAAAATTGACCTTAATTTAGCAACAATTCAGATGCTAATTAATGTCGATCAACTCTAATTAAACAAGCAATTTAACCATAAATTAGCCTAAAATTGACCTTAATTCAGTATCAATTTGGTAACAATTCAGACATTGATCAATACTAACCAACTCCAATCAGACAAACAATTCAGCATCAATAATCAGTACATTTTATTTATTAAATTTATTAAATATTAAAATTTTA